CTAGAAAGAGGAAGGTACCGAGAGCTGAGTAGTGTAGAGCTCTGCTAAGTAAAAGAAGATTATCATGAAAGGCCACAGGGGCTGGGGATTTAGCTCAGCGGAAGAGCACTTGTCTGGCAAGTGCAAGGCCCTGAGTTTGGTCCCAGCACCAAAATAAAAAAGTAAAAATGAAAGGTCACAGTGTTCAGTCCCATTTCTGTGAGACATCCAGAATATCCGGGTCTAGAGACACTGAGTACACTTGTGGTCCCCCTGGGCTCAGGCAGCAAGGTGGAAAGGGACTTCTTAATGGGCTAGGTCTCTTTGGGGAGATGAAAATGTCCAGAACCAAGTGGAAGTGTAGTTACCCCACATGTGAACATGCCAAATGCCACTGACCACCAACTGGTGAAAAACCATGTACATTGTGTCACAGGGCAGAACCTCTGCCAACTGGGTTCAAGAGTGGCTGCACAGAGGTGTCTGATATCAGCCCATGCCGTAAGGGCTTCAGCACTGACACTGGAGGAGCCCATTCCATCCTGGCTTCCTTCTGGCTGATGCTCCCCATCCTTTGTCACCTGCAGATGTTAGCGATGATGCAGAGGCAGGCGCGCCGAGGATGAAAAGGAAGTAGAGGAGCTGAAGAAGCAGGGCATCAACCCCCTGCCCAAGCCACCCCCGGCGTGGGCCTCCTGCCCACACCCCGCGGCCTCGGCGTGGGCCTCCGCCCACACCCCCGCGGCCTCCTGGCCCCCAGCCCCCCTCTCCCAATGCCGGCCCATGCAGGGGTCCCCCACCTCCCCCGCCACCTCCTCCTCCGCGCCCCTGGCCCCCCCATTGCCCATGCCAGTGCACGAGCCACTGTCACACAGCAGCAGCTGCAGCAGGACATGTACAAACAAGAAGAATCCCCTCCTTATTTGAGATTGTGGTGCGCCCACGGACAGCTGGCTGAGAAGCTGGGTGTAAGGTGAGGGCCTGTCGGATCCTCCATCTGGGCTGTGGCCTTGGCTTGGAGCACTGCATCTCCCTGGGTGGGAGCTGCAGCTTCTCAGCAGCTTCTTCACAGGTGCCATTTCCTCTAGGTTCCCAGGACCTGGTGACCCATGGTCTGGCCCAACATGGGACCCCAGGGCCTGGGAGGCCCCATGCACCCTGATATGCACCCAGACATGCACACCGGACATGCACCCTGACATGCACCCCGACATGCATCCGACATGCACCCCGACTTTGCCAATAGGCCCTGCATGAACCTGGCCCAACCCATGGTCTGGCGGCCCCCCGATGATGCCCTTATGGCCCTGGAGACTCCCCACACTCTGGAATGATGCCCCCCATCCGCAGCCAGAACTTCTATGAAACTTCTACACAGCAGCGAGGGCATGGAAATGGAGCCAGACTCCTTGGGACACAGGTAAGCAGGCTTTGAGTGGGCTGCCTGGACATGGGCTCAGGAGTTAGGAGTGGGGCAGGAGCTGTGAGCTAATTTTGTGTGGCAGAGTCTCTGACAGCAGGCCTCTAGCTCCCATCTCTGTCCTCCTCGTGCTCAGTGCTCTCGAGCTCAGACCTAGTTGAGAGCAGAAGGATTATTATGTTTGTTGTCAATGTAGCTTGTTTAATTTTTCAAAATCTTGCTTAGTGTGTTTGGAATTGGGAGGGCGGCCCTGTCAGAAGTAAGCCACGTGCCCTGGACAAAATCCTCTTTGCAGACAGTTCTGGGCTTGTAGCTGCCAGGGCACATCCCTGTAACTGGCCACTTTCCTTCCCCTTTCCTCCCATGTGTATTGGTAACTGAAAGTGTCTGGCAGTCAGCGGGCTAGGCAATGCACATGGCTGTGGCTGTAGCTGCGGTACGCAGCCTCAGGAAGGAGAAGACTTGCTCCCTGCCTGGCCGCAGTCCTCACCTACCTGCACTGTAGTGGTGGGACACAGAGAGCAAACTTGTAAATGAGAGAATCATCTCATCTCAGCATTGGCCATTGTTAGAAGATACCATGGGATAGCATGGAGTGGAGGGATGGGCACAGGGGAGAGGGTTCTCAGAGGTGAGATGAGGTTGATCTGGTGTGGAGGAGGCCTCAGCCAGCCTCCTTGTGTGAGGAGAGCAGAGGCGCCCATGTGTCTGCAGAGGAAGGAGGAGAGGGAGAGTTGCAGTGCTCACAAAGCCTGGCAACCCCAGTGCTGTGCAGAGTGGAGGGTAAAGCAGGGTGGTGGAGGGATTGGGGGTGCTCCACATTGCCTGCCCAATGGAGTTGTGTACTGTGGAAATGAGCAGGTGGAGACAAGAGTACAGTGTCAGCCAGGTGCCAGTGGCTCACACCTGTAATCCTAGCTACTTGGGTGGCAGAGATCAAGAGGATTGCTATTGGAGACAAGCCCAGGCAAAAATTGAAACCCTATCTCAGAAATACCCAAACACCAGCCAGGCGCTAGTGGCTCATGCCTATAATCCTAGTTACTCAGGAGGCAGAGATCAGGAGGATCTCGGTTCAAAGCCAGCCTAGGCAGATAGTTAGTGAGACCCTATCTTGAAAAAAACCCTTCACAAAAAAAGGCTGATGGAGTGGCTCAAGTGGACAGCACCTGCCTAGCAAGCATGAAGCCCTGAGTTCAAACCCTAGTACCACCAAAAATAAAAAAGCATGTGGTGTCAGTATATAGGGCTAGTGTGACCCTGTGTGTGCAAGGCAAGGGCAGGAGCAGCTTGGAGGGTGGGCACTGGATGAGAGCAATCAACTGACATGCCTGGCCTCCTGGAGCTAATGGCTGGGGACAGCATTCTGCTCTGAGCTGTGAACTGCCCTTGGTCAGGCACGTGGGTGTGCCGTAGGCATGGTTGGAGGACGTCCATTGGTGAGCACGCAAACGTCCTGAGTGTGTGGCTGGTGCTACAGGGCTTCAGATGATGCATGAGGAGGCATGCATATTGGCATGCCTGGTCCCTAATAACTATGTAGACGGATATGGAAAAGGCTGTACAGGGGCCAGACACCAAAGTCAGTCACCCTGTCTGTCCATAGCAGGTATTAGGCTTTTTAAATTAAGACAGAGTCTGTCTGTGTAGCCATGCTAGCCTCAGCCTCCTCGGTGCTGCAGTTCCATTTGTGTAACACCATGCCCAGCACAGAGGTTTCCTGCTTCTCTCTTTCTTTCTTTTTTTTTTTGTGATACTGAGGTTTGTACTCAGGACCTCAAGCTTGCTAGACAAGCCCCCTCTGCCCTTTTTGCCTTAGTTATTTTTTACATAGGCTCTTGGTCCTTCTATTTACATCTTCCAAAACAACTGTCTGTCCTGTTTTCATCCATCAACATTTGCCAGGCCGCCTCTGAACCACTCTTACCTGCTGACTCATGAAAATGCCCGCAGCAGCCTGATGTGCCCACTGTTGGGTTCACCACAGGGCCGTAGTTGAGGGGGCAAGAATGGACAGGATGGATGTCTTGCCCATCACTGTCTGGTCTGGGCTGGTCCAGCAGAGGGCAAGGGGTGGAGTTGGAGCCCAAGGCCTTTCCCACACGAACCCTGGTTCTTCCCTGCCACAGAGGACTACGGGCACTACGAAGAGCTGCCGGGGCAGCCTGGGGAGACTGTCTTCCCCGAGCACCTCTGGAGCCTGACAGCTTCTCTGAGGGAGGGGCCGCAGGCCGGGCGAAGCCAGGCGCCGGTGTCCCTGACTTCCTGCCCTCAGCCCAGAGGGCTCTGTACCTGAGGATCCAGCAGAAGCAGCAGGAGGAGGAGGAAAGAGCGAGGAGGCTGGCTGAGAGCAGCAAGCAGGACCGGGAGAATGAGGAAGGCATGTGTCCCGGGCGGGGGAGGGGGCTCCCAGGTCTGCAGGGGAGATGTGGCTGCCCAGGGGACCCCGTCCAGGGCCTGTAGGCCAGACTCAGCCACCGCATGTCCCTGAGGGAATTGGAGTCATGGCTGCCCAGTGCGTCTTGGGGTTTGGAGAGTCCTAGTGTATGGGAGAGGGTGGTGGTGGTCAGGGTGGAGACAGCAGCAACGGATGGACCGACTGCCTGCACCCCTTTCCCTGTAGATGGTGTGAGGGCTTCACTGCTCCTGTCCCCACAGAGCACAGTTCCATGAGCTGCAGGAGAGCAGACTTGATAATCAGTCAGTAGTTGTAGCTGGCAGTCCGCCTCAGGGAGGAAGGGGTCTTAAGCCTAAAACAGACTATGGTGCCTGGTGGAACCCTGGAGCAGGGCAGGGTAGGCGGCCCAGATTTTGCTTGTACCAGGTTCAGCCTGCAGTCCACACCTGCCTTCCCTGGACATGTGATAGCACTGCAGGGGCCTGAGGACTCCTTGGGCCCTGGAGAGCTGCCAGCAGTGGCTGCTGTCAAGACCTCCAGAGGCAGGTGGCCAGAGCTGGCCAAACCAGCCTGGGGATGGGGATGAGGTGGCAGAGACCTGGCCTCAGCAGGGTTCCAGCTCAGGTCTTGACCCTATCCTGATGTAATGGCACTGTGCCTCTGTTTTCTCATCTGTCTAATGGGCCCATGGATGAAATGGCCCTGGGTAGTTGGGAAGCTGCCCAGATGGGAGCCTTGCACCATGCTCTGCCTCAGCAGCCTGCCATGGAGGCATTGTGAAAGGAGCCGGTGCCCTGCTGAGACTGAGGGCAGAGCAGATGCTTGCTCAGGGACCACGGGCATGGCGTCTGTGGGCTCATGTTAGCTGTGGTAGCCACTTACCTCCCCACTCTCCTGCTCTTTCTCAGGGGACACTGGAAACTGGTACTCAAGTGACGAGGATGAAGGTGGGAGCAGTGTCACCTCCATTCTCAAGACCCTGAGGCAGCAGACATCCAGCAGACCCCAGGCCTCAGTTGGAGAACTGAGCAGCAGTGGGCTGGGAGACCCTCGCCTCCAGAAAGGACACCCTACAGGAGGCCGGCTAGCTGATCCCCGCCTCAGCCGGATCCCAGACTCTCCCGCCATGCTGAGGCTGCCGGTGGCTTAGGCCCGGGGACACAGGGCCCTCTGACCCTCGGCTGGCTCGCTCCCTGCCCACCTCCAAGCCTGAGGCAGCCTGCATTCTAGCCCTGCTGGCCCTGGCAACTCCAAGGGGCCTGCACCGCCTGCTGCAGAGGAGGAGGAAGGGGAGCGGGCCCTGCGGGAGAAGGCCGTGAGCATCCCACTAGACCCCTTGCCTGGGCACCCACTGCGGGACCCACGGTCACAGCTGCAGCAGTTTAGCCACATCAAGAAGGATGTGACCCTGAGCAAGCCAAGCTTTGCCCGCACCGTGCTGTGGAACCCCGAGGACCTGATCCCCCTGCCCATCCCCAAGCAGGATGTGGTGCCCCCCGTGCCTGCTGCCCTGCAGTCCCTTCCTGCCCTGGACCCCAGGTTGCACCGCCCGACCCCGCGGGACCCCCCAATGCCCGGCAGCGCCCAGGCATCTCCACGGAC